GGAAACATTTTTTGACAAGTATTTTCTCGGCAACTGATGAATCAAATTTACTGGAAATTCGTACAAAGAATTTTGTTTGCGCTTAAAGCGCTTTAAACACTGAAGCCGAATTGTCATTATGCTAGAAAGCTACATGCAATGTATATGGGCGGTTGATACGTTTACGTTTCCGTTTCGATTTTATATGTAAGCTTAAACTCTCTATTTATGCGACGATCCTTTCTTCTTGAATTTGTCGATTTAGTTAGTCTCTGAATTCGGGTCGGCATGCTATGTGCAAGTCGATTTGTTTACGTTACACTCCCCCTTATAAGTTTGGTAATCGGGAGCCTTCATTTGATAATGTTTTAAGGCTTGAACTGTTTTGTGTTTTGTATCTAAATTTGATGAATTTTTGTATTAGCGCCAGCATAAACCTGCTGTTTTATAGGTTGAAATGTTCTGTTTTCTATTTACATTATGTCAATTTGATGACTTGTATTAGCGTCAGCATAAACAGACGTTAACTTTTTTGGGTACCATACTTTTGGAGGGGAAGTAATTTGAGTTGTCGAGTGTCATGTTTTTAGTTACATTCTAGTTGAGATATCTTATGATTTGTCCCTAATTTGTTTAACAAGAGAGGAAATAGCGACGAACTGTAGTAGAGCTATGGCCAACAATGCCCCTACAACGCCCCAGAATAGACTCGAGTTGTAAACCTGATTGAGATCTTAAAACACATCGACATAGATTAATACTAACTTCTCAGCAAGACAACACTGGTAAAAGGAAGAACCGCACTTTTTATGAGAACGTATACGTTTTAAACGTGTACTGCACTTGAACGTGTAAAGTTACGGTTCTTTAAAGGTTAGTTCCTCCTTCGTAGTATTTACTTCCCCGATGGTGAACAAAGGTGCAACTGAAGAAAATAGTTGTATAAGGACCCTGGACAAGACAATGGAGAGGGTCACAAAGTAATCCCTAGGCGTCGTAACTTTGCAGGGGTCACATACACGTCCTCTTAAGAAACGTGTAGCTTTCCTCAATATTGTTTATTGTATATGTCAAATCACTGGCCTGTTACTAGAGTTTCATCGTCGTTCTTTTGATAATCCAAGAAATCGCCAAAAGGAAAGTATTTTAGAGAGGCTGGGTTTTTGTCGCACTGGTGATCCACTCGATTATGCTGGTTACCTGGTTACCGGTTCGTTTGTAGCTCTGTAGCTCCGTTTTCAGCTCTACATTTGAGGTTGTCAGGATGGAGATTTGCGCTTGATATTCTTATTCTACAACGTTGCTACTCGCTATCGATCACTTCCTTGCTGCATATACGTTCCCTTACTGTGGATCGCTGTAGATCATTCGAACGAGACGTAATTTCCTCTGATAGCACACTAGTAGGAGCTAAAATACTGCGTGGAAAGTGATCTGTTAGCCCCATCAGATAAACATACATGTCATATATATCATTAGCGTAACTTATAAGCTTAGTGTCACCTTTCCTACGTTTGAGCTTAAGATCCACCATCTGGTCCTCACCCCCGGCAGTTTGGGGTCCGAAACGGTCCTCACACAAAGTAGAAATAGACTTTTCCACCATAGAAAATTGGTATGATCTAACCTCATATAGCATATCCACATCATTGTCTATAGGTAACTGTTCAACGATTTCGTACCTCGGTGTACATTCAACAGTTCTAAGCAGGTTATCCATGCACGGGATCGATTTCAAAATCAGACGCCATTTTGAAAATTATTTCTAACGGTCACAATGTGTTGTTATCCATCAATAACCATGATTTAGACAAAAGCTTGCGATTTTGCAGTTGATAGGTCGCTAGATTGTACCTTTAAAGTCAAATCAGAGCCACCTAGAAGTATATTTATGTTGTAAATCCTAATGGAAATCGTCAATTACTCGAAGCACCATTCACAATAATATTTCCAAAGGAGTGGTATCGATATGGCGAACTTTTTGAACACACGTTTCTCTTAAAGCAGTCATAAAAAATCTAAAAATCTAACACATCGTCAATTAAATGGTCATCTTTTGAATGGTAACAATATAATTTGAAAAATATATACTATATATACTTTCATCTATATTATTTTAGAAAACACATCAAATACTTGTTTTGTTCTTGGTATCATGTTTCCAGAGTGAAATGAAACATCTTTCCGAACCTCATTGGAACAAAACGACATAAACACAACATGTTTAGGTCTCTCAATATAGTAATTGTACAAAGGAAATTTTGGTTGATTTTAAAAAAGTATCTTGTTAATGAAATAAAAGGTTTATCTTGATTTTTATCTATTTTGGGGGAATTTTGTTTTGATTTTTCTTTCTATATCAAAAATAGTCTCGGGTGTTATTCACCCGGAAGTAATAAAGTAGTATCATGGGTTAAAGACAGATAACCAACTCCACATCATATATTCAAAATTTGTATACTTTTGATCAACGGTGTTTATTATAACCGTTCATGTGCACTGATATTGGGGAGTTTAAGCCTGCATATAAAATCTTAATGTTTTACAAATCGCCCATACAAATGCATCGCTTAAATAAATTCCGTTCACGTTTAGGTTGTGAAAAACAGCGCAAACTTAGACTCCCCAATGTTTGTTTCTTTAAGCCTCCTCTCCCTAGACCTCACATATGAACAAAACCATCAACGTCAACTTGTGTGCATTGGCGAATAGGACTTTGAGTAAAATTCATTCCTATGGAAGAACTCTTTCGGGAAGTTTCGGACGGCTTCGGATTTCGGAAACATGTGCGAAGTAGAGCTTTGGTTCGTATGTTAACGTTCGTTATCGCAATTAACCTAAAGTTGCGTATATATTACATATGTGTGGTAACAGCATCGAGCGTCATCGTGAGAAAACTAAGGTGTCATGGTACTTAACAGGAAATGACAAAACAGAATGTGACAAAACAACCATGCTGATAACAGAGTTCTGTTTTGACTTCCAGTCATCAAGTGTTTGTTTTCTTGAATGTCCCAGTTA